CATCAGGATACCTCCTTGTCCCGTCCTTCCCTCGCATGCCCACTCTGGCCAACAGTAAGGCCTGGTGGCTCCAGTGGCCTTGGGGTGGCACCGGGGGCCCCTTGCATGGGCCCTGGGTGCAGAGGAAGGGTACAGGTCCGAGTCCCAACCCCAGGGCTACTCTCAGCCTCGCCAGCCCTCCTTGGGCCCCTGCGAGGAGCTCCCAGGCATGGCCAGCACAGTGCTCTCCTCATGGTCAGTGCCAGCGCCAGTCCTGGGCTCCTGTGGCCAGCGCTGGGCCTGCCTGCTCCTCCCTGGGGTCCTGAGCAGATGTCCCAGGCACTGGCAGAGGCTCTAGAACCGTGCCCACTTCTCACTTTTTTATGCCTTGGGTCAGAAACCGAGGCGTGGCGGCCCCTCACTCCGTGCACAGTCTGGTTCTGGTCAGCGTGCTCTGTGAGGGTGCCCCTGAAGGCAGCTTCCTTAGCCTTCACTGGAATTCCCGCCTGCTCCCAGGGGAGCAGCCCTCCTGCTCCTGGAGCGGGCAGGTGGGAACCCCCTCTCTGCTCCTTTGTTAGAAACTGGGGCCCTCTCTGTGGGCCTCTTGGCACAGAGCTGCCAGCTGTTCCCGCACTGCCCTCTGCCAGGTACTCACTGTGCCGGCAGGAGCTGTTGTGACATTGGCCAGGGCAGCCTGTGGCCGTGGCTTCCCCTGGGACCTGGAGGCCTCGGGTGCAGAGGGGTGGTGATGGCCTCCACAGCCTTGGGCCGTGTGCCATGCTGCCTCCCAGGGAGGACCCAGAGGGCGCCTTCCTCATAGGCAAGGCCCAGGCTTGGGGACCTGGCCGCGCTGGCAGTGTGGCCTGGGGAGGCAGTGGGACCTCATCCTGAGATGACTTCACAGTGACCCCCCCCGCCCCCGTCTCAGGCTGGGAGGTCAGATGGGTTGGTGCCCGCTGGGCAGGCATGTTCACCCTGTGCAGTGTGTGGTGCCTGAGCTGGGGACAGTCCCCGCGTCACAGAGCAGGGCCCCCAGGAGGAGGAACAAAGGCTGCCAGTGGAGGCTCAGGAAGAGGAGGCGGGGCTGATGGTGCCAGGGGCCCTGCCAACAGGCCCTCCCTCTGTCTGGAGAGCCCAGGTGGGTGTGGTCCCTGCTGGCTGATGGCAGGGGAGGGGATGGGCTGCCCCCAGACCACGCCCTCTCCCAGAGGCCCTGGCTGACCTCCGGAGAGTGCTGGGCCCTGCCTAGGGCTGACCGAGTCGGGGAGTGGCTAGCTTGGCTGTGAGTGTCTACAGACCTCCCCGTGTGACCGCAGATGGCTGGCGCCACCCCAGAGGGCCCAGCACGGACAGCCAGCCAAGCGGCCTGCCTCACCCACGCACGCCCGGCCGCCCACCTCCTTCCTCTCTTCCTTCGAGTCCAAGAGGAAGCCCCTCCCCAGAAGCCTGCAGTGTCCCAATCTTCTCGGCTTCCGCAGAAGGGCGGGCAGGCTGCCTTGACCCTGGGGCCTGCGTCCTCGTGGCTGGGCAGACTTGGCCTCCCGTGGCCTCCCCCACCTGTCCCCTCCCTGGGGTGGCCTTTCGGATAGCCCAGGAGCAGGAGCAGGGTGTCGGAGGGCCCTGTCGCTGACTGCAGCCTGGTTTCCTGCTTAAACCGTTAGCCTAGGACTGGCACCTGTGGCCTGTTGCATCCTCCCGCTGGGAGCAGCCATCCACGTCCTGCCCGTTGTTGGAGGCTGTTGTGTGGTGGCCTCCTGGGCAGGACGTGGGAAGTGGGCTGGGCTGGCAGGCACGTCCGAGAGCGTTCGGCCTACTTACCGGGCCTTGTTTGTGGCCAGCCTTTCCCGGCGGGCTGGGCAGTTGGCTTTTAACTTTGTCTTTCCAATAGGCAGCGCACCAACGTGTTTCAAATCCAGAAAGCCCAGTGATTCTGCAGGCGGGATCTGGTGCTGCCTGGCTTGCAGGCCCCGCGTGTGGCAATGTCCCCGGTCAGTTCAGGAGGACCTCGGTCTCCTTTCCTGCAGCACGCCTCTAGCACGGATCCCTCGTGGGTTGGCAGTGCTGCAAGTCAAGGACAGGGCTGTTCTTAGGATTCCCTCGTTCCCGGTGCAGGGCCCCATCTCGGGGACGGCCTCGGTCCTGGTGCAAGCGCTCACAGGGCAGTCCCCAAAGTCCAGAGGCCAAGACGGCTTCACAGCCGGGGTTGTGCTGGTGCTGGCCGATCGGCAGAGGAATGAGGGTGCCGGCTGGCGGCCCCCCCCGCGCCCCGGGGGGCGC